CGTTTTCAAAACCGGCTGAAATAATTAATTTCTCACTGAAGAAGTATGACCTTATAAGCTTTCCGTCCAACTAAATAGTGACACTAAAATATCACTGAAATTTATTGTGGATAGGCTAGCCTTACACTACAGCTTCAACTATGAGAATAGCGCTATTTCTAGAAAATCGGTTTCATTTGTGGCAGTGCCTACGTGTGTGCTGATGGCCGAATAAAAGAGTCTCAATCGGCTGGCGCACAGTCAGGTCAGTCACAAAACTTGAGTTTGCTATTTTATGCTTGTCTTGACAAGCGCCTACTCTTCACCAAGACTTGGAACGAATTCATTCCAACTTTCTAAATTCAGGGTCTTGCCTGGTCTGTACATGCGTCTTTTAGCACATCCTTGTTTATGCGCATCAAATACAGGAAAAAATGACTCCAGAACAACCAAGTTAACTTTACAAAAAAAGTGTGCAAGAAGTTTCAGAGGTCCGTAAACGTACACAATTAAAGCTTGCTTTATTCGGTCTTCCAAACCTTATCAATTGCGGGTCATCTGACCGTTTTGAATTAATTCCACTAGCGATGGAAGAACTATGGGAGCAAAATAGAAGATTGAACGAATAATATTTTTGTGCGGGAAATATTAATTAATTTTTCTCGCGCACTTGGTGTTCCAAATAACCTGGAGTACCCTAATTTCAGAGGGATTTGGTAACAAATAATCCGCGGACTTATTGCTGAACAACGTTTCGGTTCCAATACAACTGCTTCGTCTAATCAAGTTATCAGTTTGGTCGGGTTTTAAGGTAGGCAGAGAAGCCGATCAATTTAATAACTTACTTGGCCTGACGACACTTTTGTGCCAAAGTTGGAAAGTTGCCCAGCATTACATCCACTGGTTAGTTACCGAACCTCTCTGGAACGATGACTACTCAGTCAGTTCCAAACATCGCTCCCTTTCTTTTACGTTAAACATAATTTATTCCCAATCGTTTAAAGACAATGTTGGTCACAATAAAGCCTGTAGTGAGCAACTTTATCAAACTTTCTATGTGTACTGTTCATCAGATGCAGTAAACGGGACATTGTTGCCCAGTCTAGGTTTGGAAATCACTTATCATTCAGGTCATCAAAACATGTAATTAAACAGGTATATATTTTCGCCAGGAAATAAATTTGGATTGAGTCACCACCTACTGAGTATAGTTTAGCCAAACGTTCGTGAATTGATTTGATGGAACCCATGTAACCATGCACAGGAGGTTTAAATTGATAGTTGACGAGCTGGAGGTGTTTGGGCTGGAACTTCCTTAGAAGTCATGAAACGAAAGGCTCAGCGAATCGACAGAAACATTCCATGGCAAAAATTCCGGCAAACCCTTGATGCTTCTCCAGGTGATACTTGCATTTTGCAGTGTCGTATAAGTGGATTTACTGTTGCAACGAGTGTTGAATCTGAGGCATTCTTTTACCGTTCCACTGATATTAATTTTCAGGCAAATAAAAGTGTCAGCAAGCTAAAAAGTTACCCCTCTGTAGATTCGTCCCTGTTTCGACTAAATATTATATGCTTTGGCAGTCAGCTCAAACCGCTTGAAAAAATTATCAGTGTGGATTGAGTTAAACAAGTGATATGTAAATACTAATTCAGTAAAGCGTGAAATTCCTCTACTCTGTTTTCAGTAAGTATGTTGAGGCTTATAGAAATGTATTGTGTTGTCCGATGTTCACCCGTATGCCTTGTAACAAAGAGTGGATAAATTGTTCTGGGTTGCTCCTTTTCATTTTGACATTCGCACACATGACCTTCAATTTGCTGTTAACCCCGTGAATCCATCATTTACAGCAACTCAGTAGGCGACAACCATTGCCATTTTATGAATATTCCTCATTATTCCACTGCTGTTCAAATAATTCTCAAGCGTTTTTGCCCCTTCCGGCAACTACTTGGTTCGTCTCAATGGTCGTAATGGTGCCCAATAATGCGTTCAGAATTAATTCCTTGCCAGTGTGTAGGCGCCATGCTGACGCCGACCAAATGTCACCATGCTGGATGAGAAGACCGTCGCAACGACGTAGGCTAATACAATGGAGGAAAAACGTTTGTGCTGTTGGCTGATTTGCAGTAAAGTGAAGTCTAACGAATCTAAATGCATCGAGTGATTCAATTTCAGCATGCAAATTTGTAACACTATAACAATTAAATGATGAAACACTCCGATGTGAGAAAAATCGTCTAGATTACCCATCAGTGTACACGCCTCATAAAAGTTCGTGAGCTGCGATCCCATTAAGCAAGATATCGGGGTTAATCGGAAAAAGGGGCTTTTAGCGGATCACATAGCTTCAGTTACAGGAAATCTTGGCGCGCACAACTTAGTAAATGTAGCAGGTGCGTGATATTAGGGGAAGGTTGACTAGTTCACCACTCTTGTCAATTGGTCTGATAAGCTTTCGTCACTCTACGAGAGGATATCATCAGTGCGCCTTTGGACTACTATTTCCCATAACTTTACCCATGTTCGTGTGGCCTTCAAACAGTGGTTGCCAACTTTAAGGTGATTGGCTGATCCAGACCCATAATGTATGTGATTTGATGGGCCCGCTAAAAATGTGCAATGCGTTTCGCCTTGATTCACTTGCATTTCACTGTTTTGTTTAGTGTGCTGGTTTCAGTAGTGCGGTTTCGTTTTTATCCAGTTGATCAGCTTGCCTCTCAATCCTCCTGTCGTTCGACTGGTCAAACAATTACTCTTTGTAGTTTGCCCTTCTAAGTCTGTTGCGTTGTGGTCTCATATTTGTTCCATATCTGTTCCATAAAATATCCTCTAATCCACACTGATTCCATTGGTTTTGTGATCAAAGTTCTTACTTTTGATCCATGTTGTGTACATTCTGATTGTCCTGATTTCACTTACTTTGCATTCTTTTAGTACCCTCCGTCCCCTTATTCCCAAGTTGTGTGGCTTTAGAGCATTGTCTCAAGGGACTGACACTTTGTTTACTTCTCAATGTGTTGACTGACAAATTTCTCGGTTGAGCCCCCCCCCCCGACTCTAAAAATCCATGCTGCTCTGTCATTACTACTTGGAATGAATGAACCGCCCAGCCGTAAATTTTTTTCGGCGCATAACTGCCGTACCAACCGAAGGGAGCATGACGACTGAGAACCTGCCACGTTGCCCAGACATAGACATGAGCAGATTAAATGCTAGGTTGGGACCTTCTGCCTAGTACGTTAGCTTGATAGCAGCTAGGTCATCTTGAGCCTTGGGTCATTAGATGACCTTCTAGCTGGAAGCATCCACTTCTTGAACATAATGTACGGAAATGAGTAGGAGCTAGTTAAGTTCCGTAAAGTCAGTTTGGTGTTAAAGCAAGCTGACGGACCCTATTCTTCTTGTTTGTCACACCCAGTGTTCGTCACAACTGTTGCACTGAGTTTTATATTTAAACTTCGGTTTTCTCCATGGTCTCTAGTTTTTCTTTTGGCTGTGAGACTGCTTTGAAAAGCGCGTTTGTAGGCACGCATTTCATCTCTATATTATGTCGAAATGACATTCTTTTAGTCGTTTCAGAAATCCCAATGTATGTGACCGCAACCTTTTTTTGACCTTCATGATTTTTTGAACTGATAGTTTTGCTTCTTTGGACTGCTAATTCAGAGGCAGTGGGATGCAAATAAGCCGGCCTAGTGGATTGGTCTCTGTTTATTGGCAAAACAACTGTAAAGACGTCTTGTTGGAACGTTTTGTTGGAACAGCAGTGAACTGGTTGGACCAGAGACAGTGGAGGAATGTAAGCCCAACTGAACGCGTTTTGAGGTTATTCATGTCAGTTGGTTGCCAAGGTACCGTGTTGACTGCGTTGTAGAGCGGCAAATAGGTAGATTGTACAGTTTTAGATTATGGTCAAGTGCAAGAACAAATGATCAGCTCCTGTCCAGAGCCTAGGAGTTAATTTTAGCATTCAGAAAACTATCCAACAGTTTAGTAAACAAAGCACCCATAAAGCGTTATCTGGCAGGCCCCTCTACATTCGAGTCTGTACCTACTCGAGAAATAAGCTGGTATGTATGATAGTCTTCTGTGCGTTTATGTGCGAGGCTGGGTAACAATTAAGTCACAGATTTTATCATTAAATTATAGTCCATACAACGATTTTCAGGAAGAAGGAACATATATTCATTGACAAAAATGGTTATTCTGACACCGGCTGGTCAGAGTGGGCGTTATTTTATTTTGAATGACGCTAATATAGGATATGCAGTCGTATTACAAATTGCCCTCCTTGAACAACACATATGGGTTTCACTGACAGGTTTTTATATTTGCCGAAGTTTGTAGCACACGTATATGTCCATTTTCTCTTTCGTTTTCGCTAACTGCTGTTTCTATCATTCATTTTGTTTAAGCCAGTGTTTTATCCACATGTTGTACCAAGTTGACAGCTCTTGCGTCTCTCTTAGGCTTTTGTTCTGGATACAGTTTTGGTTGGAGGCATCTTTCGGTTTCTGGTTTTGCCAAAACGGTGAATAACTGCAACACAAAAGAAGCATCCAGGCTCTAAAAGCCAGTTAACCAGATGTTAAACAAATGGATTTTCCAGCACACTATTTTTCTTTCCTCATTTCTACTTCTGTTCAGACACTGGTTTCTTAGCCTAATACCAGTAATTCATTTGCATTTTAAAATCACTTTACAAGCGGAGCTTTTTGGTGGCTATTCAAGTGTATGCTATGACGTTAATTCATCCTAATCCCTTCTTGAATGATGAATAAGCGTGATGCAGAATTAAGTGAATTAAGTATCCACACACAACATCACTTTGGTTGTAGAAACTCAGTTGTATTTATTTCTGCAGAGCAGCCAACAATATTACTTAGGAATCCGGAAGTAGCAATTTAACCACATTGTATTCTTTATTAGGGCCTACGCACAACACTTTGTTTTCCCCGTTCTTTTTGCCTTTCGACGCGATTGTGAATAACTAACTGTCCGAACAATATGAGAGAAGTGTATACGTGTATTTGGCTGCACATCAGTTATCATCACAACTACGGGTCACCTCCTTCGTCCAAGTCCTCTTCCGATTCTTCATCATAATCGTCCTCCTGTTGGTAGAAGAAAAACAGGGAAGAACCGTAAAGTCACCATGAAGTGAAATCATTTGATTTTCTATGAAAGACATTATTTTCAGATGCAAGGCTTATCTTTGGTTGATCGCGTGCGAGCAGAACAAAAGACATTTGAATTTTCTCACTGACTAGCGGGACTTGTGGCGAACGATTTGTTGTATTCGATGGGAACATGACGTTGTCAAGGTGGTCACAGTAATAGCATTATCAAGCCTGGCTTATTGCATACCACCCAATTGTTTTTTGACAAAGAAACGAGCTTGACTGGGGTGAAATCGGGGTAAACCTTATTCACGGCAGTGAAAATACCTTCGCTCAAGTGGTTAGAGCTCACATTTACTGACTGGAAGGTCCATTGTTCGAACCTGACCTTTGCCTCTCGACTTCCCCTGTCTAGGCTTGGGCAACCTGGCAGTATCCCAGCGTTCGTGTTTCCTTCGTGTAGCATGGCAGCTAGACACCGGAAGGGTGCTACAGATAAACGATTTATTTTTTTCAGGCCAGAAAACTTTAAATAAAGTACGGCAACTACGTAGAAAGTTGTCTTTTTTGACGAAAACCGTATGTGGCACGACCGATTGTGATAATATGGGCACAGTTATCAGCCCAATGCGAGCAATGGTGTTAGCTGGGGAATTTAGTCCCGAGGTAAGTTATTTTTATAATTTTTACTACCAGGAACTTCTTTTGAAAGCGACCCTTTGATACAATCATGATTTTTTTCGAACCACCTATCTTTTTATGTCACACTTGTTTCTGTTTCAGCTTGCAGGTTACACTTTATCCTGGATCTGACACAGTACCTTTCGAAGAACCTAAACACAAAACACCTGAAAGCACTATAGATCCAAAGAAAATTCAAGGCTAAGGAGAACGTGGCAGTGGTTTTTGGGTTGACGTTACTAGACTAGACAGCCAAACAACACAGGAGAGCCTGAGCGAACTACGCACCTAAGCTCTGGTTCAAAGCGACGAAATTTGAGTATCTCCATACTGTAAATAGCAAGCCTGACTGATCTACTCGGCCGGTAAATCCTCCGGGCGACGTCGGACCTGCAACATTTCCAGTTCAAAACTTTCCTAATTGAGAAGAATAGGGCAAGTCGGGTTTCCGAACCGCTGAATACAACAATTTCGAAAAGTAGTCAAACTCACCGCGAAGTCGTCAGGATCGTCAACCTACAATGGAAAAAACCTTGGTTACTAGCTGGTTATAAACAGTAAATGTGACATCTTTGCGGTTCGAGTGCCGCCAAAATAAGCGCATATCATGATTAAGCGCTCACTTCATTTTCAAGATCCAATGATTCTCCGGTAAAGTATGAGACTGCGCGAGGTATCACACGTTCTTTCAAATACTGACCCCAATCAAAATCCTCCAGTACTTTTTGTTCCGTTGTTGAATTCTGAATAAAAGCAAATTTTCATCAATCACAAGAATGAAAGAAAATGAACATAGGAATCCAAAGTTTGCTACTGGGCAAAGACCGCCAGAATGATCCAAGTAAGCGTCCGATAGGATAATAACAGCTAACTTTAAGATTAACAGGCGAATAGAGTAAAACTGCCTTAATACACTTACACTTCTTCACTTACCGTGCGTTTTGGGCTGTTCGCTGAGGGTGGGAGTGAAAAGTACTTTCTACAATGAGCCACGACGCGCAGGCATCGCAAACGAAAACAGATGTGTTTATTGTCAAAAAGGAGGAATAAAACTAGGTTACAGTGACTGACGCCTAATAAATGTTAGTATGATAGTATGGCTAATAAAAGCCGTGTATTCGGATTTTAATAAATCTAGCCTATCGTCAGTTACAGGTTAACTGCAGAACGAAACATGCATGACCTAAGGGAGTTTCACTTCACTAACAAGGAATTCAGTTCATTGTTTTATATGGAAAAGCTGCGTAAGGAGGCCAAAGCACAGGTATAAGCAAAGCGTTTGTAGAAGATTATGTAATTTATTATAGACTAATGCAGTACCGACAAACGCTACCTCTCATTACTGACTTACTATTTTGCTGAATGTAAGTGAACAACAACTGTAATATACAACATCGTCTCAGAAGATTTAGCCAAGTGGCATCATATAATCTTTCGAACCTTGTTTGGGTCGGTCACTGTAAGCTATTCTTTCACGTAGGATTAAAGTATTCTAGCGTGTCATATCTGTCTAGAGCTGGAACAGCTTAAGTGATGTAGCTGTAAATTAAACCTCACTATTTTTGCTTCACTCTAAAGGTAACACCACTGGAGGCATGCGCTGTTTTCTTGTCACAGCCGTAATAATATTTACAGGTGCTTATTCGGGAGAAGTATAAATTTTAAGAGGGAAGGAATTGTTAAAAGTCTAACGCAACCCAAATTTTAGACAATTTCTGGAGAGGTATGGAACGAGTACACACCAGTGCTTCCTGTGTCTGGTCTCAATTAGAAACATTCTGCGTAAGAGAACCACTGACGGCATTCTGACTTGCAGTTATGTATCACTTGAAATGGGTGTACAGATTTACTCGTTTTAAACACAACAGATGCAGAAAGTTTCGGGCTGATAGTGCCTATAATTGATACCATTCTTACAAACATATCAAGTGGGTGTATTTAAGTTTGTTGCAAAAGTCGTCGGCTCCAATCTGATCAACATTCATCCATATGTAAAATAGCATCAATCATTTTTCAGTCTATCGCTTATAGGGATATCTAGTGACTCGAGCTCACCTGGCTTCGGTGGGTCGAAAAATTGGAAGAATGAATCATTTGTTGTGGTTCGAGTCACGGTGTGCTTTTCTCCGCTCAGCCGACTTCGCTGGGTTTTTGAGTGAGTTGTTTGTGTCAAGTCCTTTTCGGGATACCAGTTTATTTTACACCTAAGTAGGGAGAGAATAAAATGAAATCATTCTATTCTCTGAGGCGTTCTGGAAGCTGACTCGATAACCAAACGACACGCCCTCTGGCAGAGGTGCTTTCAACAGGAATCACAAAGGATCTGTTTGGAAACTAACACGTGAAAGAGCTCACTAGTTTTGGTGTGCTACAGTTCAGCAGTGGCTTTGAGGTGACTCAGTAAGGTTGCTTTGAGTACAAAAGGTTCTAGAAACTGATGAATTTGTTGTGATAGAATGTTCGATTCCATACACCTAGGCACTCTTGAGACTTTGAAAACGGCCAAAATAAACGATGCAGCAGCATGAGAAAATTTCAATCTCTGCTCAAAGAATATCGATCACTATGTTAAAAATATCAAGACCGGGTTTCTACATTGCTGTCCATCCTGTAATAAATGAGTCTATCCACCAGCAAGAAGTTAATGTCCTGCAATCTGTGATAGCTTACGTAATGAACGATAGCATTTGCGTGGATGCACAGGACTTGGACCGTAGTTGGTAGCCATAATCAAATGCAACCCACGCGGCCACTAATTAGATCAGGCTGTTGAGAAAACTACCACTATTAAGTAAGCTTAAATAGCTTGGAAATGTTTCTTCCAGATAACCATTTATCTACTCGGACAACCGTCCGATGAACGGCCAGGCCTGGAAATAACCAGACTGAGAACTGAAACTTTGATTGAATTTTAAATGATGACTTTACAAGAGCCCACTTAAGAAGCTTCCATTACCAAATTTGCAAGAAATTGCAACTCACCGAGACTGTATTTTTTGCTTATTGTTTTCTCTAGGATCAGAATCAGTGAATAAACTGGTGATTCATATGATTACTGAAGTTTTCCATGTACTCCGAAAAACGGTTTCAACTATCTTTTATGATATTTTCTGCATTTGAAGCCCACTGACTAAAGTTTACACGGGAACAATTAGTGTGTTAGTGTGATTGTTTTTCATTCAAGTCTTTTCATTCACATTCGAATAGTGATTTGCCCATAGGATTCTTAAGCAGTAATGTGGGAGCTAAATGTGACCACATATGACCACCTGTTTAAAGTCCAAATTAGGGGCTGCGCAGATGTTGAAACATCCGCGGCTGACTGTGATACAGTTAAGCAATTATTTCAGTTATTGTGGAAAGCTAATGCAGGAGGTTCTTTGCAAGCAACACACATCATAAACAGGGGAGATTCAACCGCGCTCCAGGTGAGTCACCCGTCAAAACCAAATTGGTGCGCAAGTGGGTGTATTTTGCCACTCAAATGCATACACCTAAAATATGCAGGCGGCCGAACTAAACGGAAAGACGATCTTAAAGTGTTGCTGTGAAGCGACAGACACCTGGAACAATATCTACAAAGGAAGCGTTAAAAGATGAAGAAACGGTCGTTTATAGAACCGGAATCATTTTCAACGCTATTCTGACCCACCCTTCAGAAGCGACCACCTCCGGACCGTCATATGTTAACGGATCTTCCTCCTTCAACTCGTAGCTTACGAAATAGCGTTTTGTCAGAACCGTGTCGGAGAAATACTCATTTGGTTCGAACTCAAACTCCAGTTGGAAGCCCTGTTAGCACAAAAATAGCGAATACCATGTCAAATGTCAGTTTTGTCTGTCTACGCAGACTTCTAGAGTGCATTGTAATGTAACTGTAGGCTAAATGACCGTTTGTTCATCCAAACAGGCAAACCTTTGCTAGTGTATTTTTGTACACGGCAAATTTCAGTTTGATTACACAACTTGTGCAAAATGCCACCAAGGAAATTGTTTTCTGGAGTATGTTTTTCAGTTTGGCGAGCGGATGATTAATTCAGGCAGTTTAATGGTCACTGACAGTAAGGAAGTTTTGCCTGGTCATTCGTAAATTCTCGCGGAGAACTTGATGCTTACCAAGTCGTCGTAAGGAATTTATAAACCACCATTTTGTGTGGTAAACGAATATGTACTTGTTACGGTTCTGTCACGCAGCGAGCAAACAATATGATAATGCGGATTGTGCCAGGAGTTCGCTAGCACATAAAAACAGCGTTTTCTGGGGGATATTGATATCCCCAACAGTACTAGAATGTGGTATGCGACGCACTTGACTTTCGTCGCTGGGGGTCAGCATTTTTACAGAATTCCCGGTTGAGATACGCACTGGCCCTGAAATAATGTCTAATATGGGTACTAAACAGCTGATAATAAATATACTAAAGACAACAAATAGATGAGGTCATCTCGAGACACGATTGAAACGAAATGCTATTTGGCATGCTTGGTGTCCACAGAAAAAACGAAAAGGAATGGTTGATTGATTCCTGTGGAAGGAATCAAGCATAGCTTTCACTCTATTTTAACCATTTAATAATTATTTTCTGCAGAACCCATGTCCCAAAATTTCAAAAAGAGCTACATAACTCGACTCTCCCTCAAGCCATCTGGCGTACCCACAGTGCAGTCCTGCACACCACCTCGTTCCACTTGTGTTTCAATTGTGTTGCAACTTGATAGTCTGCTTGACTCTCTGTATAACATTCATCCAAAAGGACACTCTTGTATTTGTGTGCTTCATGCGCAGAGAATCTCTTAGCACGTACAAATAGGAAATCCTGTCTTTTGCTTTGGATACTCGCCATCTGGTTATTCGCAGCACAAGGTAATCTTCACCTCGTAATACTGCACGGTTTACGCTAAAGCCCTTGTTTTCTGGGCATCCTTCCCGGAAATTGTGCCAAGAGGACGTCCATCAAAACTTGGCATATTTCGTTGACTTTGGTATCTCTGTCACTCAGTGATGATATGGTTTTGCATGCTACCTTCGTATCGACCCGAATGAATTGGTACATGGTCCCTGCTCATCATCAAGATCTGCTCACGATCGACAAAGGTGCAGTAATGACCTCGAGTCACCACTGGTTTAGTCCGCTTGCACACCAAACGTCCGGTGTAGTCCAAAGGCGTTTCCTGATCATTTATTTGAAGAAATTTATTTATTGTTGGTCATAAAGCTGGATAAGACATTCCTAGAGATGCAAAAGCGCTCAAAGTAGTGGTCATTCTCCAGAAAGTTAATGTACATGACATATCAGCCGTAAATTCATCAGGCTGAAAATGAGCGCAATGACGAATTTCTAGGAATGTCTTATCCAGCTTTATG